ACTTATTTTATTATGTTTGCTACAAAAGGGTCATGCTGTTTCTGGGAAATAATTTCATTAATTAGATTCCAAAATGAAAATGCTGTAATAGAAATCTTTTCAGGGCCAAAAGTTTCATAGTAATCCTTTAAAGCATCTCCTACTCTCTTCCACCTTTTTTCATCTATGGTCCCTTCAGTGGGGAACCAGGGACAAACTTCCTTAATAAAGACAAAAATCTTTAACAAATCCTATGTTTTAAGTCTAATCCCTCAACTCTTAAGTGCCTTCTTGAGGCCTTCAACAAACAATTAATGTTGACTCATTTCTTTTCCCATATCGTCGATCATTTACCAAGGTCTTTGTTGCTGCAGCAGGCTCCCGTCTTGCAGCTACCTCTATTTCTTTTCTTTTTGATATGGTCAGCTCTCCTCAGTGATGTTCTTCACTGTGGCTCTCGTACCTGGGCCTCCATGTTGGGTGTGACTTGCCCCGGCCGGCGGGGTCAGTCAACGGGGACCCTAGAGGAGGGAGTGAGAATGGGGGGACTAGAGACACGAGAGATGGAGACGAGACAGTATTCTGATCAAGTCTCGTTTATTAAAAGTACCAGCAGGGCTTAAGTAAGGCAGGTAGCAGAAGGGCGGGGGAGCAGAAGTTCTCCTTGGCAGAGTATGTTCCAAGGACACAAGCCTGCAGCTGGGGTAGCCCGGACTGCAGGCCAGGAGACAGAAGGGTGGGAGAGCCTGGACTGCAGGCCTTGAAAGTATGCTGTACAGTAGGATAAGCAGGCACAGAGAAATAGAAACTTAACTAAGTGTTAGTCTCTAAGAATACAGTAGGAATATTAAGATGGCTTCTATTATGCTATCTTTATTTAGGGTCCTCCACAGATTGACAACTTCAATTGAAATATATAGAGTGGCTGAATGGGTACTGAAAAGAGTCATCTCCTTGCTGCCTGTTATTGACTCTTTGAAACTTTACATGCCCTGGTAAATGGAAAGGGAAGGGGCAGGAGAAGATATTCCTGGAAGATAGACAGCAAAGGAAATCAGGGCTGGCAACACTTAGGTAAAATGCAACTCCCATCAAATAAGTATTTCAAAGTAAAAAGAAGGTCATCATGTAATGATAAAGGGATCAGTTCACTAAGAGGCCATAAGAGTTATAATCTGTATGTGCTCAGTGCTGAGACTCCTGAACATGTAAAGCAAATCTCAATAGATATGAAGGAAGAAATGTGCATCAGGAGAGCAATAGCAGGGGACTTCAATACTCCCTTTCCAACAATGGGTAGATCAACAAGACAGAAAGTTTTCGATAAAATATGGGATTTGAGCTGCACTTTGCACCAAATGAACCTTGCAGGCATGGATAGAACTTGGGCTCTCATGGCAGCAGCAGGGTGTATGTTCTCTCCCAGGACATTGTTTCGTCAGAACACACGTTAGACAATAAAATAACAAGTTGAAGAATTATATACTTGATAGAATGGCTACTATGAAACAGTAAGAGATGAATGTTTGAGAAGATACACACAGAGAGAAGCCTAGCACAGTTGGCTAGAACATAGATTGGTACAACTATTAAGGAAAACAGTATGGAGAAAATTGGAAATTCCTGTGAGCAAGCCATGCCTCTTCTGCCTCCAAATACAATGTTGGACCACTATATTGCAAAGAAATCTGCACTATCATTTTCTTTGTGGCATTGTCTACAATAGCTAAGATATAGAAACAACCCAACTATCTGTTAGTAGATGAATGGATGAAGAATGTGACACACACATGATGGGATATTATTTAACTTTAGAAAAGGATGTCATTTGTCATAACATGGATGGACCTGGAGGACATTCTTCCAAGTTAAATAAGTGTGAGTTTACTTACAGGTGGAATCAGCTATAGTTAGCTATCCAGAGATGGACAACAACACTTGTCATTGTTGGTGAGGGCATGGGGGAGGGGAAATAGGAAAATAGAAGTCAAAGGTCACAAAGCAGCAGATATGTTGAATGAACAACTCTAGGGATATAATGTATGGGATAGTCATGACTTTGTTCAGTTTTACTTGCTTTGCTACAAAAAAACCTGCTTGTGTGATGACAGAGAAGTTAATTTGCTCTACCATAGTAACCATTTTATTTAGTGTGTGTGTGTGTGTGTGTGTGTATGTGTACACATGAATGTGTATGTATATAGAGGCCAGAGATAACTTCCAGTGTAATTCCTTAGTGTGTGCATATGTGTATGCATTTAGAGGCCAGAGGTCAACCTTTAGAGTCATTCCATTTTTTTTAGAGACAAGCTATTTTAATGACCTGGAACTTGCTAGAATTACTCTTTTCTATAACAACATTCCTCTCTGAGCAACTCACCAGAGTCCCATAAGAACGATATTAATCTCATCTGATGATAGTCTGTCCATCGGCTTAACTGCTTTTCACTAGGCCAAAGGTCCTGCAACATTAGCACCAACACAGAGTGGACCAATGTGAGTCATTGGTGGGAATTAACTATAGCCAAGCCAAAGCAATTTATATACCCACTTTGTAGATGACAATGCAGGAGGTTATGCTTTAATGGGAGGGTTTGGGGTGACCTTGTCACTGAGCCTTTGCTTATGTTGAAAATCCTTCTACCATTCTAGCTTCTAACATGTTTGCTTGTCTCACTCGTGAAATGAACATTCTTAATGGCAAGGGAAGACTCAGTTTCTTCCTCCTCAGAGTGTATTTTATCATGACATTCATTTTCTAAAGTTACAGCATCTATCTCTTCTCATTGTGTATTAAACTGATGCTCCTTGAGGATAGAACTTGTCTATAGACTAAGTAGGCTCAGGGATGTAGGGGTATATTTGAAATCAAGTTGCTTTCTAAGTACTTTTTGAGGATGAGGAGACCAATAAAAATGTTGATGTTCAGTTCTCCTACTGGGCTGGTAACCTGCTCAGCCCCCTCCATATGTTATCTGTTGAATTCTTATAGCTAAGTGTGTGTGTGTGTGTGTTTGTGTGTGTGTGTGTTAGTGTTAAAACCCTCTTTAGTCTAGCAAACCTAAAAATGCAAATGCAAAACAAGATTCTTCTTTTTTAAAAAGTTTTGTGAAGGGTAAAAAATGGTAAGGAGGGACTAGGAAGATGTCCCAGTGGCTAAGGACATGCCTTGCTCTTCCATAGGATCCAAGTTCGATTCCTAACACCCACATCACATGATTCACAATTGCCTGTAACTCCAGCTCCAGTGGATCCAATCCCCCAGCCTCTGTAGATATCTGTACTCATGTGCACGAGTGCACGCATGCACACACACACACACACACACACACCATGCATACACAAATAAAAATAATAAAAATGAATAATTTAGAAACATTTTAAATGGCAGAGTAAAGGAAAAAGGCTTTGTGCATATCTCTCCCTTCCTCCCCCCTCTTTTTCTATGCACTTATATACCTTCATACATACGTATGTGTAGTTATGTGCATACGTGAAGGCCAGGTATTGACATCAGGTAGCTTCCACTGTCACTGTCCACCGTGTCTTTTGAGACAAGGTCTCTCTCACTGAAGTAGGAGTTCACTGATTGGCTAGACTAACTGACCAGTGAGCTCCTAGAATCCTGTTTTCCTACCCCTGTCCTCCAGCACTGGGTTATAGGCATGAATTGTCATGCCTGGCTTTTTACATTGTGTGAGTGCCGAGGATCCAAGCTCAGGTCCTCATGGTTGTATGGCAAAGCACATTACTAGCTCATGTATCTCCCATGCCCTTCTATGTGTTTGAGATTTTCACTCATCCCATGTAAGATAATTGTTCATGTAACCAATGAGGCTGTCTTTTGCCTTTCCTGCTGGAGTGGGGCTATTTCCATTCCTTTTTATAGATGTTGCTTCTTATTCAAGAAAGTAGCTTTGTTCAATACAAATGTATTACGAACCATATATAGTATATTTAAAATTTTTGTAATAGTTATATTACACTGTAATAAGAATATCTAGGTAATATAACTTATTTAACATACTATGTCCAAACATTTCAATATATAAACATGAAATGTTAATATAACCTGTTATATGGTTGTTTGTTTGTACTAACTTAAAATTTTGATATGCATTTTACAATTGTAGTGGTTTCCGTTTGACTACTGACATTTCAGGTACTCAGTAGCTAAATGTGGTGCATGGTCACTGTATTGGATAGTACAGCTATGGAGTAGAAAATGAAATGTATCTAGATGCAATTTCTGCTCAATAGGAAGCTATAATGTAGTCAGAAACTATGATTCACAGTCAAAACTATCTAGCTGTCTTTTATATTTAAGGCCATTCAATACACTTATTTATTTAATCCCTAACATTCTCCAAGACCAAACAAAACCCAATGAAACCTTGTGTGAAGCCACATGTGTTTAAAGGGAGGAGGAAACCAACTACTGATTTCATACTCAACTCATTTAAAATATCTCTCTCCATCACTGTTGCCAATTTGACCTTCTGAGGAAATCTACCAAATATTTTTAGTTATCCCTCAGTTTAAAACTAGTTGTGCTGTAAAATGTTAACTGGAAAAAATGATTACCTGTCTTGCTATGAGACAATAGGGAGATCATTTTTTTTAAGGTTCATTTGGAGAGCTGTGGTTTAAATCTGGAAGCCCTCACTTCTGTCAAGCGCATGTCCTGTTTGTGTGTCATATCCTGAATAAAGCTAATTACATAACCGGGTCTCCCCAACAGGTGCGAAACTATTTTTAGAGTACATACATCATTGCTTAGAAGCAGATTAAAACACACGTGTGGGTTGTTAGTCCACACAGAACAGGCAGGGCTGATCAAATCTCCTCTACAGTGAATGAATACAACCTGGGAAATACCTGGTCTAATTGAACTGCGGATCTTTGTTCATTATGGAGAGACCAGATGAGTCTCTCCTCTCTAGTCCTTGAGGCCAGTAATGTTTCTTTGATTGAAATTCCGAAGGCTTTAAAATAAACATATTTTGGGTGTCACATTTTAGGTCCTGCACCAGATGTTGTCTCAGACAAAATCTACCAGATCAGCAAAACAATTGAGGAATACGCCATATGTCCTGATCTTCGAATTGACCTATCTCGACTAGGGAGACAAGAATTTGACCTGGAGAACAAGTTCAAACCATTCAGAGGTAACACATAGTTTGAAGAAATAAAAAAATTCCATACAGAGTGGTGCGTGTGGTGGAGTCCAGGTGTGCATGAGGTTGTGGCGGTCCTTGTTGGTCATCAGTGGTTTCTGTAGGCAAGGATTCTCATGAGAAATACTGAATTAGTCATTTGAGGAGTGGCTCAGGGTGAGGTTATAATAAAAGTATATACAGTGCAGAAAGAAACTGGAGAAATCTCTGTATTTAGATCTTGACACTTTCAAAAGCCCCTATCCAAACTGTTTTGTTTTCAACATAGGAAAAGGTTTTGGTTGACTTCATCATTGCATACATGGAGTAGACTGTGGATGACCAAAACTTGTCTTTGAATAATTTCTAAGCAGTTGAGGATATGGGAAAATCTAAGTTAAGAGAGATAAAAGTCAATGGGTTGTTAAACTTCCCGTGAGAGGTAGGAGTTTCTTTGCCAGGTCAGAGCCATGCAGTTCTGCTTGACTTTACATATTAAGGTTGACCACATGCTCTATACCAAGTACTGTGTCCAGAGATTTTACAAAGGAATTCAGTAATTGTTGAATATATTTAGGCAAGTGGTTCAAGCCTGGCACAGTGGCACACAATAAAACCACAGAACTTGGAAGACTGAGGAAGCAGGGTCGTAAGTTGAAAGTCAGCCAGGGCTATAGAGAAAGACGTTGTCTCAAAAGAAGAAGAAGAAGAAGAAGAAGAAGAAGAAGAAGAAGAAGAAGAAGAAGAAGAAGAAGAAGAAGAAGAAGGAGAAGGAGAAGGAGAAGGAGAAGGAGAAGGAGAAGGAGAAGAAGAAGAAGAAGAAGAAGAAGAAGAAGAAGAAGGAGAAGAAGAAGGAGAAGAAGAAGAAGAAGAAGAAGGAAGAAAGAAAGAAAGAAAAACAACCAGAACAAGTTTGAAAATTATTATCATACATGGTTGAGTGAAGAACTGAGCACAATTTGTTATTTTACAGGTTCATTATGAATATTATAGAAACATTCATGGCATGAATATACCTTATCTATTGTATCCAATTAAAGCTGTATAGAAGGCATGTAGGTAGCAATAGAATTACCATATCTAGTGCCTGTACAAGATTGGGTACAATTTGTATCACAATGGTGTCCTAATTTTACAAATAATTCAACTAGACTAAAAAGATGAACTATCTTGGGCATATAATTTAAAAATATTATTATTCTTTAAGAATTTCATATATCATATGTTGCATTTTGATCACATTCATCCACCCACTCCTCATAAGTTCTCACAGATTCACCCTCCCAACCTGAGCACACTATTTTTAAAGTCAGAGAAAGCTTAAAATAGACGGTGTGTGATGGTGATAACACTAGGCTACTGATACCAAGTCTTTCTTGAAAAGTTTTGAGCTGATCATTTCCTCAGGTAGGGAACATTTACTAAAAGCCACATGATATTCACTAGAAGCAACAGTGCACACCTAAAAAATACAGTATCATTTATTTATTCTTCAGTATTTTCATAAATGTAAATGATATATCTTGATTACATCATCTGTAACCAGTCCCACACACTCCGCCCTTTACCCCAATATATATGTCCCCTTCTCATCTTTACGCTCTCTTCTTTGGTTTTGTTTTGTTGATCTTGTTTATTTTTAATCCACTGAGTCTAATTGGTGCTTCTTCACTGGAACATTGACTGATCTTGTTTGCTTGATCTTGTGTGGGTAACCATAGTTACAGTGAGTTCCTGGATACACTGACAATGCTATATATGGAAGACAGTATTAACAATGCTCTTCTCCATCCTCTAGCTTTTATATTCTTTATATCCCCTCTTATGTGGTGTTCTCTGTACCTTGAGAGGGGAGAGGATTGATAAAGATGTCCTATTTAGGACTGAGCACTCAATAATCACTTATCAGCACTTGAATGAGTTATGAGTTCTATATCAGCACTAACTACTTTCTACTGCAGAAGAAGCTTCTGGGGCCAATATTAAAAGCATCACTAATCTGTGGGTATAAATATAAATATAAATATAAATATTTATTTGGCACTTTGGTAACATTTCAATTTACCAAGGTAACAGTAGTAGATTTTCCCCTAGAGCTAGTGATCTCTTGGATTATGGGCTTTTGACCAGGTTTATAGTACCAAATATTAATTCCTTCCTACAGAGAAGTCCTCAAATCCAATGCAAAAGCAATTGGTTACCTCTATAAACTTCATGCTACTATCGAACCAGTGAAAAGTTTTCACTTTTTTTTTTCAAGACAGTATTTCTGTGTAACAGATCTGGCCATCCTGGAACTCACTCTGTAGACCATGCTGTCTTGAAACTCACAGAGATATGCTTGCTTCTGCCTCCCAAGAGCTGGGATTAAAGGTGTGCACCACTACCACTTGGCTGAAAAGTGTCTATCTTTATTGATCTAGTTAGAAGTGCACACAACACACAAATGTGCTCACGTGGATTATCTAGGCAACTGCAACTGTGTTATATCTAGCAAAACAGTTTAAATATGTCTTACCACATATGATAAGAAACATAGGGACATTGGGGCTATAAGAGGGATAAGAACTATCAGGCATTACCATCTGGAAGAAGTCATATGTATTTTAGTTGTTTTGGGCATATTTATTATTTTATAGTTTCTGAGAGACTTGAGTATTTGGGGAGCTCATTGCTGTACCCACATTGATTCTCGGGTGGATTCTCTAAAGTGCTGGTGATAGTCTGGAAGAAGGTGGAGGTTTTTCTGGTTCCCAAAGATAATCCTTTGAAGTAATTTATGTGTTATATTCCTACTGTTCTAAGTGATGAGCAATGCTTGAATTAATTGAAAGTAAATAGTCCTTAGCATGTTATCTTAAGGTGTCAAGGACATGTATTAGCTAATGGGAGTGTTCAATTTTCCTGAATGACTTGCTTCCTTAAATTGTCCCTGGTGAATATCAAATATTTTTAGACAAATGACTCAAGAGCTGAAGAATCAGAATGAAATTCCCAAAAATATCTTATGTTATTGAGTAAGTAAAATGTCTAAAGCATTCATAGCATAAAACCAAGCATTTCAGATGTATAATTCATGGACAGCGGTTTTTAATTATTTTCTGAATTAACATTCTTCATATATCAGAAGATGATTAAATATAGCCTGTGCTCCTTAAGAAGTAATTAAATTTGAGTGGATATTCATATGTCAATTTAAATGTAAGGGAAATATTTTGATACATGTATTTGTCCAGATGAAGGGGTAATTTATATCACATACTAAATATTGTACCTGAGTGTACTGAAAAATTATTGATTGATAATATCTTTAATGTGGGCCTAAGTGTTTCAGCTCCAAAGTAGTATGACATTGCAAAGTAATAGATGTATAACTTTAAAAATTTAATTATAGGGGGCTGGAAAAGCGGCTTTCTAGTTATGAGCACTGACTGCTCTTCAGAATATGGCTTGGTTTACAGCACCCAGGCAGCTTATAACTACCCACAACTCCAGCTTCAGGGGATCCATTTCCTCTGGTATCTGCAGGCATCTGCACTAATGTGCACATACCTAAATGTGTACACACCCACACATATGCATGTGTGTGCACATGTGCACACACACACCCAATTAAGGAGATAATGGGTATAGATGTAACCACAAATTTTAAAAAAGACTGCTTTCCAAGACAAAATTTTAGTTCCCCCAAACTCAAATACTTCTCCTAGGAAAAATGCTTTCTCAGCACTAATTACATACAGGTAGATGTTTGGAAATGGTGCCATGTTCTGTGTGCTGGTTTTCATGAGTTAAATAAAAAGGTTTGCTTGGGATTCTTGGTGACACCCTGGAGAGCGTTTGAGCTTCCTGAGGAGCTGCAGATGTTTGGCATTACTCTGGAAATTAGGTAGCAGGCAGGGTGTGAAAGAGGATTTATGTGAAATCAGAATCCAACCATACATCACAGTTCTGTGCTTGGACCCAGTATGTATACTAGAATTTGGAAAATAAGGGCCACAGCCGAGGTCACTCCTTTATGTGTTTCCTACCAGCTGAGTCATTCTTTGGCTAACCCACAGGAAGACCTCTGCATATGTGGGATGCTTGTTAGCACTGGTGTGTGTGCAGCTGGGGGAGGGAGGGGTAGAGGAGGTGAGGGCAGGGATGACAGTGCATTTGTATCCTAAACTCTTCTAGTGTTTAGTTTTACCTTGCAAGAAGAATGTAGAATATTTTTGTACCATTACTTATCTGAAGAGTTTGTCGCATTTTGATTGTGCTGTGATTTCTGAGTATGTTAGTTGACATCCTCCCACCCCTGTTTCCCATCTTCAGTGGAGATTGTGGACCCCGTTGACATCTATCTCAACCTTCTTCGGACCATCTTTGACTTTAATGCTATCAAGAGTTTGCTGACTGGGCCTAGCCAGCTGAAGATCCGAGTTGATGCCATGCATGGAGGTGAGCTTGTATTTTTCTAAAAGCAGTGGCTGAGAACTGTTAAAGACCTCTACATGTTCAGATATATGGAATATTCTAGAAAATTTCAGGGCTCTGGCTACTTTCTTTTGATGTAAATGTAAACAAAAATTGAACAAGCAAATTTGGGACTGTATCATGTGAATAACGTAGATCAAGACTACCTATTTATTGACTTTTTAAAAAAATCTTGCTACATTCTATAATTTAAACAGCTGAATAAAATTATGAAAAAATGTGTGCCCAATTCTTTTTGGCAGTCAATGTTCTATTTTCCAGTGTCAACCTTTTTCAACCCTTCTAGTGATGTTTAAAGTGTTTATTGTCTTGTTATGAATACCACAAATATATAATTCTTTATTAACTTTTCATTTTTGAAGAATATGGGCTTCTTCCTGGACTTTTATGGTCAACTCTCCATGTCTCCCAGCAGCTGCTGGCAATCATTTATCTTTCTTCTGCCTTCATTGTCTTGCCTTTTCTAGATGGTCATATAAATGGAAGAATAAACTCAGTCATCTTTTGCTTCACATTTCATTGAGCATAATGTTTTTTTTAAAACGATGCTCATGGCACATGTGTCTCCTCTTGTAGGTCACTTCCCTACTTGAGGGGGGCAGAGTTTTAGCCATACCCTAGTTGTATGAGTTGATTTGGAGAAAGATGTGATTTTTCCAAAAGAAACCTGATGCTTCCTCTAGAGGAGGGTGCATAGGGACTGGGTCACAAGACAGAGATGTTCATGGTGTGAAAACAGTGTTGTGTTGGAGAAAACAGGAAAGTGATCTCATGCACATTTCAGCTGAGAGGACTGCATGGTGGCCCTATCACAGGCTCTCTTCTCTTGCTTTAATGGCTTTCACTTTTGTGGTTCCCCTACTAACACCCTTCTCAAATTTACATTCTTCCTTCAAGTCCTACTCAAAACACTGCTTTCTTTGGGAAGCTTACCTATGGATATCGTTTTATAAGTCATGGTGTCCCACTAGATCTCTCCCTTTTTGTCCCACCTCTCCACTCTTCTATAGATTTGACTTGTCTCACTATTAGATAAGAGCCCAGGAATGTGACAGTTATGCATCTCACCCTCTTTCATCTGATCCTTTCGGTTCTTAACATAGGGGTTCAACGTTAGGTCTCCTGGTCCACATAACTGCTATTATTGCATAACATTCATTGTTCTGTAAGAGGTGCTTTATTTTTTATGAAGCTTCTGGGATTTGGATGCTTAACTTGGCAATGTTACAACAATTGTGCAAAGAGAATAAGAGAATTACTAGTGCCCTTTAGTGCTTTTGGTATACTCAGTTGAAGTGCTTAATACATGAAAACCAGCAGGTAATAAATCATTATTATAGAGTTGGCTTCTATAAGGCAGTATTTTAGGAAACCACAAGGAAAAGAATTTCATCTCACTGGATGATTGGCGCTTGGTAGATGCTCAATAAGTGGTAATTGATATGATTATTATTTCATGTTAAGTCCTAAAAAATGATGGTATAATTTCTTTTTTTCTTCCAGGCTCTTAAGTGAGTTGTTTTTGTCTTTTTCTAACCAGAAGAAAAAAACCTAGGGAAGAGTACCCTTCAAGTATTTTTACATTCTCATCTATTCTTTTTTAGTTATGGGACCCTATGTGAGAAAAGTTTTGTGTGATGAACTGGGGGCCCCGGCCAACTCTGCTATAAACTGTGTCCCACTAGAAGACTTTGGAGGGCAGCACCCAGACCCAAACCTGACATACGCAACTACCCTTCTGGAAGCCATGAAAGGGGGAGAGTATGGATTTGGAGCTGCATTTGATGCCGATGGGGTAAGTGGGAGGGTTCCCCAACTGTGATCTGCTGCCCATGTGATGGGAGAAGTACCAGAAGCCAGAGTACCTGGAGTGCACATGCATGGGGCATGGCTCTGCTCTTCTGTTCAGTGCTACTAGTACCACGAAGCAGCCATAGCTTTTCTTAGTTTCAGACTGATGTATGTTCTTGAGGAATTATTTCTTTAAGAAAATAGTCAGACAATCAATTTTCATTTATCATTGGCTTTTTTGAGAGCACCACATAAAGGAACATGCTATTTACCAGTTACTAACAGCTCTTTCAGTGGGGAAGGAAGGGATTGAGTCTGTGGAGGTCACAGATACATGAAGTAGCTGTGCACACATCCCAACAGGTGGAGCACATTCCAGCTGTATCAAGATTCTGGGCCCCTGAGGAATTTATATGGTTTCCCATGCTTCCTTTGAACTATTCAAATTGTCTTGGGTTGTTTAAATGGCAGGAAAGTAGCTTGTGCTGATGTTGGGAACTGGGTATGAAGACCAGATGCTTCTCTCTGATAATTTTCACACATTCCTTCTCACAGGACCGTTATATGATCCTTGGCCAAAATGGCTTCTTTGTGAGTCCCTCAGACTCCCTTGCCATCATCGCCGCCAACCTCTCTTGCATTCCGTATTTCCGTCAGATGGGGGTTCGAGGGTTTGGGAGGAGTATGCCAACCAGCATGGCTCTGGACAGGTAAGCAAGGATGCTACTGTGACTCACAGTAGACTTCTGATGCTAAAGTCCTTCTGTTGGTAGCTGGCTATCATTTTCCCTGCTCTACTGCAAGCCAGGTGACAGCCTGGAGACTTGGGGATATGGTGTAGTATAGCAGTGTAGGAATCAAGTAGCCTGAGCTGGATTGTTCTTTCTTATTTGATCTCTATGTCTTACTTTTCTTATCTGTAATATATGAATGCTGACAATACCATCCTTACATAGATTGTGGTGAGGTATGGATGAGGTCATGCTTTCTGTCTCCACAGGAGCTTGCTTGTTCCAAAAGTCATTTAAGTAGAATTCTCTACTATGGGCTTCTTTGTTGTTGCGTTGTTTCATTTAATATTTTTTTGTTCATCCATATGCATTTAATTGAAACATAGTGAATATCTCATAAATATGTCGTCTTCTCAAATCTGAGGGTGTATATATAAGCAAAAAGAAAAGAGCATGGAATTTGAGGTCAGATTATATTATACAAGACTCAGCTTTCGTTTTCATCAAGTGAGTGAAAACAGGGATGCTACATCACAGGTTGTTGTAAGAATGGAATGATGGTGTGCAGAGAGCACACAACAGGAGGGCCACTCTGGAGGCCCTTGAGAGTGGAGCCTGGATTTGATCAAATCCAGAGTCTCGGACATGCTAGGGATGCGCTCTGAGACTGAGTTACATTGCTGTCCCTGTACCTGATGCTTTCTAGCAGTGTTCAATATCATAGAAGCAGAGCTGATCCTTTACTGTGTCATCCTCCTACCCCTTTTTAAATTTATCCTTATCATTGCATATGTCAGAAGCACATCTCTCCTTGTTATGCAGTGTATTACTAATATATGAGAATATTACCATTTGTTTTCTCCAGGTTCTCATTGATAGACATCTGGGCTCTCTGTAGCCAGTAGCTATTTAAAGGTTTTGTTGCTGACATACTTCAGTTAGTCCTGGGCAAACATCTAAGAATTAATGTTGATTTTTAGGATAGTTGTACATCCAAGAAGCTGACAAGCTGTTTTCTACCTTATACATTTTTCAGCAATGTGGGGGCTTGTGTTTGCTGCATAATATCCTTACCAATAATTGGGGGTTGGAACAGACTTTTAACTTAAGTCAAACTATTGTGTGCTAGATATCATTTTATCATAGTTTAAATTATCAACAGCCAATAACATGATTTTTAATTATTTCATATGCTTATCAGATACTTGTTACCGTCTTTCATTTAAAAGATATATATCCCTCCCTGTAGCTTGCCTCCACCCTCCACCATTCCGGAGCACACAGCCCAGCCTGCAGGCTGCTCAGTAGGATGGAGAGTGCCCCTTCCAGCCGCTCAGGTGGCCTGAGCCTCCTTGGGTAGCTGGCTGGTCTGTTCCTCCCAAGTGGCTTGGCTGGTCTGAACTTCTCCTAAAGAGCCCAGCTTATCTGAAAGAACCCAGCTTATCTGAGGGTGTCTTAAGAGTCCTTACAGCTTATATATGCATGGGTAAGAGGAACCTAGCATATCTGGCCAGTTTCAGGGACTTCCTGAATCCATTCAGTTGTTTACTTCCTGAATATTAATGAGATTTCCCCCAAGATGGATGGTCTTTGGAGGAAATGGCTACACAATACTCTTTAAAGCAGAAGGGTTTTTCCTGTGAATAACTGCAGTCATAACATTTACATTGGTGCTTTCAATTTTCAGTTCATTTTAATGTGTGGTGTGAGGTAATAGTTGAGGATTTCCACCCCACCCCCACGTTCAGTTGCTCCAATTCTATTTATGGGAGGAATTTTTCTCTCCACTGAATAGTGTTGATTTCTTTGTTAAAGATTGACCCACCATATATTTATGTGGAACTCTTTGGACTCTTTATTCTATTCCATTTATTTTACTGTGTTTTTACAAAGATACTACACTGAAATCAGGAGGCTAACCATCCGGTCATTTTCATTCTTTGTCTAGTTACTACATATATATTTCCTCGGCTTTCTCCATTACTAAGGACATTTTAAAACTGATGTGTCAGTTCATATCAGAGCTGTTTGGGACCTTGACAGAGAATCTGCTGAATCTGTGAAGCCATCTGAGGAAGATTACATTCTTTTTTTCTTTTTTAATTTAATTTTTTATTTTTAAATTTAAATTAGAAACAAGGTTGCTTCACATGTCAATTCCAGGTCCCTCTCCCTTTCCCTCTCCTCCTATCAACCCCACCCCAGTATCCCCTCATTTCCCCAGGGAGGGTGAGGCCCTACATGGGGGTGTCCATAGTCTGTCATTTCATCCAGGGCAGGGCCTAGACCCTCCCCCAAGAGTCCAGGGTAAGAGTGCATCTCTCACTGTTGGATGGGAGCCAAAAGTCCATTTGTATACCTGGGATAAATACTGATCTACTACCCAAGGCTCAATAGATTACCTAGGCCTCCTCACTGACACCCACATTCAGGGGGTCTTGATCAGTCCCATGCTGGATTCCCAGGCATCAGTTTGGGATTCAAGCTCTAACCCTTGTCAAGTCAGCTGTTTCTGGGGGTTAAACCAGCCCAGTCTTAACCCCTTTGGTCATCAGTCCTCCCTCTCTGTCACTGGATTTCTTGAGTTCAGCTCAGTGCTTAGCCGTGGGAGTCTGCCTCTGCTTCCATCAGCCACTGAATGAAGGTTCTGTTTCCCAAACTCTCTGGCCATGCAATTGTAAGCTGGCACTCCCCAGATCTATGTCTAAAATCCATATATGAGAGAGTACATGCCATGTTTCTCTTTTTGTGACTGCATTACCTCACTCAGGATTGTTTCTTCTAGTGCCATCCATTTGCCTGCAAATTTCAGGATTCCATTGTTTTTTTTTTTTTTCTGCTGAATAGTACTCCATTGTGTAAATGTACCACATTTTCTCTATCCATTCTTTGGTTGGGGGGCATCTAGGTTGCTTCCAAGTTCTGGCTATTACAAATAAAGCTGCTATGAACATAGTGGAACAGACATCTTTGTTGTATGAATGGGCATCTTTTGGATATATGCCTGAGTGGAGTTACTAATATTAGATCTTCCAATCTGGGTGTATTTCTAAATAGGTTTTCTTCAATTTCTCTTACACATACACTTGAAGTTTTTAGTGTAGTTGTCTCACAGGTTTTGCTAAACTTTTATTGCTATTTCCATATTTTGAGCCTGTTATAAGCGGAGTAGTTTCTTAAAGAATTTTATTTTTATTTTTATGTGTATACGTGTGTCTGTGTGAGTGAATACCATATGGTGCATGTACCCAAGGAAAGAATCCTGGGCACTGTGTATGTAGCTTTTGTGATATTCCAGGATTCTGCTTAAACACAATTTTATAATTTAGATAAAATTTACATTTATCTTACTTAAACTGGCAATAGTTTTGTGAGGACATTATGCCAGTCATTCCTCTCTTCATATTAACAAACTAGTTATCAGGAAAGTTAAGAGCCTTGTACTGGGTCCCACAGCTAACTGGAAACTGGCAGGACTCGACCCTGTGTCTTCTGATACAGGTTCCTATCTCAGCTTCTCAGGGATCTAGAGAGGCCTAGCTGACACCGTTGAAAACATTGCCCAGCTCTCCTGTGAGGTAGCCAACAGCTTTCCAAGCCATGGCTGGCAGTGGGAAGTTTCATTCTAACAACAGAAACCATTTGTCCTCTTCTCTTGTGGAAGTGTCCCAATAGCTCTTGATTTCGCATCGTCCACTTTCCCAAGACAACGTCCGTTCAGTCAGAGGCCAGGGGCCTTGCCTAGAGACTCACAAAGGGCCTGTTCTGATACGTGAGTGACCGTTTAAAAGGATTATTCATGCTTGCTGGTTGGGATTCAGAATTCTGTGGGGCTCTGACCTGCTGATTTGTTTTGGGTATTTGATCTGCTGGGTCGCTCCCCTGGGGATTCTCATGATGGACCCTTTATAAGCTCTTTCTTCCTGGTGAACAAATGCAGCTTCAAAAGTCCGTCTTCTTGTGGTTTCCCAAATTACTTAGTATTAGTGCTATTATTTTAAATGAATGGAACCATAGGATTGTATCCATAAATACCAGGGTAGCTGTTGAATGCTTGTGATATATCCAAAAGCCCACTTAACTTTGAAACTGATAAAATATCCAAACTTTCGTTATTCGCAGATAAGACTGGTGTTTCCCAGAAAGAGACTTTCATTGCCTTTAATTTCTATTCTCACAGTGTCACTAACACAAAGGTCGCATTTACCCCCAGATAATAAACTTTCCTCTTTGAAAATGGCATTCTTTGGGGACTGTGTCATCCGAATGTGACTGATTAGTGGCACAGATGAGCTGCGTTGTTGAAAACATTCTGGTACAGATGAGTTGAGAAGCAACGCATATCCAAAGTATATTTGTGGCCCAAGGTCTGTCTCCACCCACATGGAGGTATTAAATAACCCTGGGTGTCATCATCATTCAGTAATATTTATGACGCTCCATCTGTGCTTGGGGCTGTGCCGAATGCTGTACAAAGCAAGTCAAACATGCAGCCTCAAGCTCTACTCACTAGAGTGGAACTTTCCTTGGAGACATCCAAAGGACCCAGCTATGAGAAGCATGTTTTGACTACAAGCAAGGCCACAAAAGTCCATATGTGTAAACAGGATGGTGACACATTGGTGACCCTCCACCTTTACTTTTGGTGCCACCTGTGTATTTAGTATTTATTCACTGGAAAATATTTCTAAGCACTTTCTATGCCCTAGACTTGGTCCCTTGCTATGACAGAACTTGCTGATAGGAAAGGCATAAAATAACATAAAGAAAAAAATATAGACACACAAGTTGTAATTTGAGTTATGGGGATGTGAACTTGGTACAGTGAAACTTGGTGAGGAGGGGGCATCTTGCTTAGAAAGGGTAGTTACAGAAAGACTCTGTGAGGAGGTCACAGTTAGTTCATGGGCCATCAGAAACATGCAGCTGGGCCTGACTGGGGGTTGGGATGAGAAGGTCCATATAACACATATGAAAAC